ACTAATGTCCTATCCTATTAATGACCAATTTTATTAAAAACCTAACCTACTAATGGCCTATCCTACTAATGTCCTATCCTACTACTGGTCTATCCTACTAATGTCCTATCCTACTAATGACCAATTTTGTTAAAAACCTAACCTACTAATGGCCTATCCTACTAATTTCCTATCCTACTAATGGTCTATCCTACTAATGTCCTATCCTACTAATGACCAATTTTATTAAAAACCTAACCTATAAATGGCCTATCCTACTAATATCCTATCCTACTAATGACCGATTCTACTAATGTCCTATCCTACTAATGTCCTATCCTACTAATGACCAATTTTATTAAAAACCTATCCTACTAGAGGCCTATCCTATTATTGTCCTAGCCTACTAATGTCCTATCCTACTAATGACCAATTTTATTAAAAACCTAACCTACTAGAGGCCTATCCTATTAATGTCCTATCCTACTAATGGTCTATCCTACTAATGTCCTATCCTACTAATGTCCTATCCTATTAATGACCAATTTTATTAAAAACCGAACCTACTAATGGCCTATCCTACTAATGTCCTATCCTACTACTGGTCTATCCTACTAATGTCCTATCCTACTAATGACCAATTTTGTTAAAAACCTAGCCTACTAATGGCCTATCCTACTAATTTCCTATCCTACTACTGGTCTATCCTACTAATGTCCTATCCTACTAATGACCAATTTTGTTAAAAACTTAACCTACTAATGGCCTATCCTACTAATTTCCTATCCTACTAATGGTCTATCCTACTAATGTCCTATCCTACTAATGTCCTATCCTACTAATGACCAATTTTATTAAAAACCTATCCTACTAGAGGCCTATCCTATTATTGTCCTAGCCTACTAATGTCCTATCCTACTAATGACCAATTTTATTAAAAACCTAACCTACTAATGGCCTATCCTACTAATGTCCTATCCTACTAATGTCCTATCCTACTAATGACCAATTTTATTAAAAACATAACCTACTAATGGCCTATCCTACTAATGTCCTATCCTACTAATGGTCTATCCTACTAATGTCCTATCCTACTAATGACCGACTTTATTAAAAATCTAACCTACTAATGGCCTATCCTACTAATATCCTATCCTACTAATGACCAATTTTATTCAGAACCTAACCTACTAATGGCCTATCCTACTAATGTCCTATCCTACTAATGGTCTATCCTACTAATGTCCTATCCTACTAATGACCAATTTTATTGAAAAACCTAACCTACTAATGGCCTATCCTACTAATGTCCTATCCTACTAATGGTCTATCCTACTAATGTCCTATCCTACTAATGACCAACTTTATTAAAAATCTAACCTACTAATGGCCTATCCTACTAATATCCTATCCTACTAATGACCAATTTTATTCAGAACCTAACCTACTAATGGCCTATCCTACTAATGTCCTATCCTACTAATGGTCTATCCTACTAATGTCCTATCCTACTAATGACCAATTTTATTAAAAAACCTAACCTACTAATGTCCTATCCTACTTATGTCCTATCCTACTAATGACCTATCCTACTAATATCCTATCCTACTAATAACCAATTTTATTAAAAACCTATCCTACTAATGGCCTATTCTACTAATGATCTATCCTACTAATGGTCTATCCTACTAGTGTCTTAGCCTACTAATGAACAAATTTATTAAAAACCTATCCTACTAGAGGTCTATCCTACTAATGTCCTAACCTACTAATGACCTATCCTACTAATGACCAATTTTATTAAATACCTATCCTACTAGAGGCCTATCCTATTAATGTCCTAGCCTACTAATCTCCTATACTACTAATGACCAATTTTATTAAAAACCTAACCTACTAATGGCCTATCCTACTAATGTCCTATCCTACTAATGACCTATCCTACTAATGTCCTATCTTACTAATGACCAATTTTATTAAAAACCTAACCTACTAATGGCCTATCCTACCAATGTCCTATCCTACTACTGGTCTATCCTACTAATGTCCTATCCTACCAATGACCAATTTTATTAAAAACCTAACCTACTAATGGCCTATCCTACTAATGTCCTAACCTACTAATGTCCTATCCTACTAATGACCAATTTTATTAAAAACCTATCCTACTAGAGGCCTATCCTATTAATGTCCTATCCTACTAATGGTCTATCCTACTAATGACCAATTTTATTAAAAATCTAACTTACTAATGGCCTATCCTACTAATGTCCTATCCTACCAATGACCTATCCTACTAATGTCCTATCCTACTAATGACCTAGCCTACTAATGACCAATTTTTTTGAACAACTATCCTACTAATGGCCTATCCTCCTAAACACCTATCCTACTAATGTCCTAGCCTACTAATGACCAATTTTATTGAACAACTATCCTAACAATGTCCTATCCTACTAATGACCTAGCCTACTAATGACCAATTTTATTAAAACCCTATCCTACTAATAGCCTATCCTACTGATGACCTATCCTACTAATGACCTATCCTACTAATGGCCTATCCTAGTAATGACCTATCCTACTGATGACCTATCCTACTAATGACCTATCCTACTAATGACCTATCCTACTAATTTCCTATCCTACTAATGACCTAGCCTACTAATGACCAATTTTATTGAACAACTATCCTACTAATGATCTATCCTACTAAACACCTATCCTTCTAATGTCCTAGCCTACTAATGACCAATTTTATTGAACAACTATCCTACTAATGTCCTATCCTACTAATGACCTAGCCTACTAATGGCCAATTCTATCAAACACCTATCCTACTAATGATCTATCCTACTAATGTCCTATCCTACTAGAGATCTAGCCTACTAATGACCAATTTTATTAAAAACCTATCCTACTAATGACCTATCCTACTAATGACCTATCCTACTAATAGCCTATCCTACTAATGACCTATCCTACTAATGACCTATCCTACTAAAGTCCTAGCCTACTAATGACCAATTTTATTAAAAACCTATCCTACTAATGGCCTATCCTACTAATGATCTATCCTCCTAAACACCTATCCTACTAATGTCCTAGCCTACTAATGACCAATTTTATTGAACAACTATCCTAACAATGTCCTATCCTACTAATGACCTAGCCTACTAATGACCAATTTTATTAAAACCCTATCCTACTAATAGCCTATCCTACTGATGACCTATCCTACTAATGACCTATCCTACTAATGGCCTATCCTAGTAATGACCTATCCTACTGATGACCTATCCTACTAATGACCTATCCTACTAATGACCTATCCTACTAATTTCCTATCCTACTAATGACCTAGCCTACTAATGACCAATTTTATTGAACAACTATCCTACTAATGGTCTATCCTACTAAACACCTATCCTTCTAATGTCCTAGCCTACTAATGACCAATTTTATTGAACAACTATCCTACTAATGTCCTGTCCTACTAATGACCTAGCCTACTAATGGCCAATTCTATCAAACACCTATCCTACTAATGATCTATCCTACTAATGTCCTATCCTACTAGTGATCTAGCCTACTAATGACCAATTTTATTAAAAACCTATCCTACTAATGGCCTATCCTACTAAGGATTATCCTACTAATGTGCTAGCCTACTAATGACCAGTTTTTTAAAAACCTATCCTTCTAATGACCTATCTTACTAATGTCCTAGCCTACTAATAACCAATTCTATTAAAAACCTATCCTACTAATGGCCTATCCTACTAATGACCTATCCTACTAATGTCCTATCCTACTAATGAGAAATTATATTAAACACCTATCCTACTAATGAACATTTCTTTTAAACACCTATCCTACTAATGACCTATCCTACTAATGTCCTATCCTACTAATGACCAATTTTATTAAAAACCTATCCTACTAATGACCTATCCTATTAAACACCTATCCTTCTAATGATCTATCCTACTAATGACGTATTCAGTCAATCAGATATCGTTTTAATGAACTGTCGGATCAATGACCAATCTATCCTATGACAATTCTTGTCTTTTTGAAGACCTACGCAATTGAAGACCTAAAATATTATTAACCAATTCTTTTAAGACCTTTCCTATCCAAAAATCTATGCTATCAGAACTAATTCTATCTATTGTAACAACTTCTACAGCTGATAAAGACAAACTCCAACAAACTCCTGGAATGGTTTAAATTGAAAAATTTTCTATATATACAATTATAATTCGAGAAATGGGAGGTTATAAAAAAGCTTGACATTGCCACTGAGTTTACAATAATATAATTTTACATTGTTTTAAGTTTGATAATTATCCTAAGTTAGAAACTTAACATCGATATATCTGAAAATATAAAGCCAACAATTCAATTATTTAGAGTGAACAGCAAAGCATATTAAAGACCAATTATTAAAGGATATTTACCATTAATTTTGGTATTGCTTATTTTTTTCTATTGCCCATTAGTATGGATGTTATGTAGCAAAGGAAGTCATGATAATTTAATAAAAATTAAATATCATTACCGCTAGAGTTTTGTGACTATTCATCCTACTTTAATGATTTTGTTGCTAACTTGAAGGAGACTACCATACACCTTAATCATATAGCATGTCAGCGTATCTAAAATTTTTGACAATCTGAATTCTTGATAATCTAGATTCGACAGTTTTTTGCCGAAAATAACGACTCACAATTATCGTTTATGAAATCTTTCTTGAGACAAAAGGTCAAAACTATAGATTAGAGAATCCGGTCGCTTAGCTTTTCAATAAATTTGCATTAATTGAAAATCTGATTGAAATTTGGCTATTAGAAAACGAAGACGTGTTATTTTTCGGCAAATTAACTGCCTTGAGAAATCCTTGTTTTTGCTTCAGGTTAGTCGGATTTTGTGTTTTTTTTGCTATTGTTAAACTATCATTAAATAAATCATTCAATGCGATAAACTTATAAACAATAGAATACAGTATAATACAATACCTCTGCCTGCAAGCTGGGTATCCATAACAACTGTCTGCTCAACCATCGCATTTTCAGCCAGAGTTGCCACTGTCTTTGCATGGTCACACTCTCATCCTGAAAGAGAATACAACAGTCAATAACAAAGAAATACTATTCATAAATTGGAAGCCTTTCTTTTCAAGTCTTTATGTGAAATATTCACATTATCATAATCCATACCAATGTTGAGACGGATACAAAAATAATGTCTGAGAATACACTCATTTCTTTTCATATATATCTCCACTAAATCTGACAATAAACAATTTTTGTCAGGGCACAAACTAGTATGGTTTTTCTCCATATTTCTGAAGACAAATTAGCTTGCTTTGGGGCTTTATCATAATGGAAAGATGGAACAAGACCAAGAGCGCCATTGGCCAACTGTGAATGTTTGTAGTTCTTTTGCTTTGATCGTTTGTTGCGTCAAGGGAGTGTGGACACTAAAAAACACTGGCATCTTTTGCAATGGAAATCCGTATTAACTTGGGTTAGCGTAAAGTCTTTCACGGATCGAAATTCTAAGGGGAATGTATTCTCGATCTTCTATTCAAATTTGGTTTAGAAAAGAACATTGGCCAGGGGATCGAGAAACTCAATCAACATTGAAATATTGGGAAATAATGACAAGATTACGGCCTATTGTGTTCACAAAAATAGAAGCTCAACTATCTGGTGATTGTAAAAGATACTAAAATGGTAATTAAAGAAATGTTGCAACTTAAACAAAACATCTAAATTGATCTTCAAATCTATAAAACATCGAACAAAACTGATTTTATAAAATTGAAGTTCTCGTTGAATGAAACGTGAGGAAAGATTGTTTTTCGACCTTTAGCATGCTACCACAAATAACACACACGACATTGTGTCAAATAATCCTCGAATGCCTTGGAAATTGAGATTAACTAAGCCAAAATATTTGTCCAATTTTGCCACAGTCGACAACGAGTATTTGAAAAGTGTTAAGTCATTTACCTGACCAACGTCAAAAGAAATGTTGACTTTCTCATACTGCAAGCCCTTGGACAGCGAAGGAAACTGCCGCCATTTTACGCGCCTAGACATTCCCCGCATGTTGATGTAGTGGTTTTTGTTTGACCTTTATCTTCATCAAAACATGGAGGCGGCAGAAATTGAGGTGCTGCTTTATGAGTACAGAAAAGGGTTCAAATTTCTAAAATCTGCATAATGAGGGGTTGAAATTTTAATTTTCTTTGAGCACAACCTCCTCGTGGATGTCTTTTTGTAAACAACAAGGCCAAGTACAGGGTTGATTCAATGCTTGATTCCCGCGCTTTTTTGTGAGAATATGAACGGTCGACCAATCACATCTACTTTTGAAATCACGTGCAAACGTTGTTGTGGTTTCCATTCCTCTTCAACCAACTCGCCTTGAAGAAAATTGGAGACTCGAAAAACTGTAGTTTTTGTTGAGTAGCCAAAGAAGAAACATTGTGTTTATCACTCAAATGTATACATTAAATCAAAATAATTACACGAAAACTAACATTACTAAGCATTAAGATTGTTACGAATGTCAATGCGATTAATCCATTAACGTGTTACGTGTGATTGTCATAAGGCTCTACTTCACAGTTTTTCTCTTTGCTGCTTGTTGGAAATATTTAGAATTTTTGTTTTACTGGTGTTGGCCTAGCTGGATACGGACCTTTCTTTTATTGCTAGAAACCTCAATTTAATTCTCTTTAAACGTCTTGTTTCAATTGCCTACATCAACAAACTCAATTCTTTATTCCCGACTTTCTACATTCCAAAAATGAATAATAATTAAATATCAGTCTACTTGTCGTCCAATATTGAAGATTTCATAATCTATTATCACGCAAAGGTCTTGTAATTTTTTTTGCATTCACCATTTTAGTCCAAAATTGATAGCACATACATTCGGCCACAAATAAGTAAAAATAAACTAACAAGATAAAATAATCAATATTTTGGAAAATAACATCTCTTTGTGCGTTGTAAATACAATGATTTGATTTGATTTCTTAGGGAGAGTAATTAAATATAAGCCCTCGCGGAGAAAATTACTGATATACACTGTTTTTAAATTATAGTTTTAATCCAAGAAATTTATAAAAGGCATCTCTAAGGTCCTCAAATTTGATTCCGACTTTTAAAATGGCTGCGAGGGGAGCAGGAGCAGTTTTGTCCCAGGTTTTCAATGTCTGTTTTCATGGACACTGAAAGTGGAACAAACTAAGAGCAAGGGGGCAAGCTTGATTAATGGGCCTTTGAAAATAACTTTCAGCTTCTACTCATTCCTCCTACTAACTACCATTTTATTTCAATCTTCTGTTGGTATCTTGAAAATGGCTAACTTTTGGCATAAGGATTTATTATACAAGTTTTGAGAAATGTCGTCATGAATTAAGCACTGCAATCAGAATTTCAACGGAATCTCTCTGATTTTTACAATGGGGCGGTTTCAAGGGTACTTTAATCAAACGGGCACGCTGGCCCCTCTTGCCCCTTCTATCAAAACCAACAGGGGGGTTGACCCTCGCGCCCCATTCTCCGGCGTCCCTGTCTGTAATGTCTCGTAATGTAATTCTTTTTTAAGAATGGAATCAACAAACATAACAAAAGTAAAGGTAAATTTTTAAAGCAATTCCATGAAAATTATTGTAAGAAAAATTCTGAAATGTATGCTTAGGTAAACTAAAGACTCGTGTCCTATTAAGTAATGAATTTCATTTTAAATCGAATTTGTTAAAAGAAACAAAATTATGCCTGAAAAAAGTAAAAGGTTTAAAACGAATGAATTAATGCAAGCTAATCTAAAAGGGGTGGTCGCGATGGCCACTGTCATTGAATACGCCCCTAATCGTAATATGCGGATTCTAATCCATTATAAATTGGACACAATTTGGAGAAATGAAGGTAAATGAATAAAAAGAAATTCCAAAATGCTTTTGAATTTGCTGTAAACATCGATTTTTTAGAAATGTTCAATTCTCATAGTGAATTGAAAAAGTAAAAGAGGCTTTGAAAATGGGCTAATTTATTTCAATTTTCAGATGATTCTTTAATTTGCCACCCTTGTTTAAGCTCTTCTCTCCAATTTGCTTTTACTAGAATTAACAAACTCCCAAAGAGGGAGAGGCCAATTTAAAGATTTACTAAAAGACTAAAAGAATACTACTAGGTAGAAGTTGCTCAAAAAAATACCTTCCAACTATCCTTAAAAAACGGTAATATTAAGATGTAGTAATTACCATTTTGTGCAGTATTGTACACTGGCACCAGAGCAACATAAATTCGAGAGCGGAAATTAGAAGATATGAGTGTATAAGCGGAGTACGCTCCTCAAAATGGGTCTCTAGTTAAGCGCTCAAATTTTGTGGCTACGGTACCCAGGGTAGCAGTATTTAGACGGTTTTGTGCAATGATTAAACTGTTATTAGTCATAGTTTTCTCATAAAGCTTCCAAATCTATAGACAAACTGGATTAGATTTAATTTTTCAAGTTTTTTGCAAAAATATTTAAATTGAAAATATTAGTTGTAAACTATGCAAAATCCAGTGCAGTTTGTTAGAAAACTAAAGAAATCAGCGTAATGCCAAACGCAGCCTTAATGCACTTGGCATCGCCACACAGCCTTACGCAGTGATATAGCTTGGATCAAGTTTGTCGTTATAGTAATGCGTCAAAAGAAAAGGGACAGGTCTCAGTACAGATATGCTCATCGATGTTAGTTCTCATCGATTTTAAGCATTAAGAAAAGCGACAACTTGTAAACTTGGACAGGGGGCAAATTAGATTTTAGACTTAACATTTCCAATTTTTCTACGGGGGCTCATTGTTATCGATTCTGTTCCAAAATTAAGGAATTTTTGCCAAAAACGTTGCTAATATGATATTTCTCATCGATTCGAAGCATTAAGAACGGTGACAACTTGTAGACTTAGACAAGGGGCCAGATAAGATAGGCCACACAGAAACATTGAAACTTCACATTTCCAAATATTCTTCGTAGGATCATTATTTTCCATTCTGTTCCAAAATAAAGCAGTTTTTTACCAAAAAAGTTTACAATATGATAGTTCTCAACGATTTGAAGCATTTAGATTAGCGACAACTTGTATACTTAGACAGGGGGAAAATTAAATAGGCCACGCAGAAAAATTGAAAATTCACATTTCCAGTTTTTCTGCGCGGGCTTATTATTTTCCATTCTGTTCCAAAATAAAGCAGTTTTTACCAAAAACGTTTACAATATGATAGTTCTCATCGATTTAAAGCATTAGGAACAGTGACAACTTGTAGACTTAGACAGGGGGGCAGATAAGATAGGCCACGCAGAAAACTTGAAACTTTTGATTTCCAATTTTTCTTCGTGGGCTCATTATGTGCGATTCTGTTTTCTGTATCAAAAAAGAGCAATTTTTTTCTAAAATATTGACAATGTGATAGTTCTGATCGATTCGAAGCATTAAGAACATTGTCAACTTGTAGACTTAGAGACGGGGGGGGGGGGAATTAGATCGGCCTCGCAGAAAACTTCAAACTTCACATTTCCAATTTTTTTACGTGGGCTCATTATTTTCGTTTCTGTTTCAAAAAAGAGCAATTTTTTTACAAAAATGTTGATAATGTGACAGTTCTGATCGATTCGAAGCATTAAGAACATTGAAAACTTGTAGACTTAGAGAGGAGGGGGGAGGGGGAACTAGATCGGCCACGCAGAAAACTTCAAACTTCACATTTCCAATTTTTTTACGTGGGCTCATTATTTTCGTTTCTGTTTCAAAAATAGGATATTTTTAACAAAAATGTTGATAATGTGATAGTTATGATCGATTCGAAGCATTAAGAACAGTGACAACTTGTAGACTTAAACAGGGGGGAGGGGGGGGGCAAATTAGATCGGCCACGCAGAAAACTTCAAACTTCACATTTCCAATTTTTCTACGTGGGCTCATTATTTTCCATTCTGTTTCAAAAAAGAGCAATTTTTTGCCAAAAATATTGATAAAGTGATAGTTCTCATT